TGCAGCGACCGTTGCTGCTGCTGCTGCTGCTGCTGCTGCTGCTGCTGTTGCTGCCGGCTTCCAGGGGGGCCCTGCTGTTGCTGCTGCCGAGCAGGGGGGGCGCCGAGGGCGGCGGCGGCGGCCGCCGCAGCCGCCGCGCCAGCGGCCTCGCCGCAAGCGGCCGCAGGGGCGGCCGCGGCGGCGCGGGCCACAGAGCCCAAAGCCGCCGCCGCCGGCGGGGAGCCGGCAGCGGCGGCAGCAGCGGCCGCCACGACAGCGGCCGACACGCCGGCCACGGCGCCGCCGGCCGCCGCCGCCACCGGAAGGGATCCGGCGGCGGCGGCAGCAGCGGTCGCGACGGCAGCGGCGGTGGCAGCGGCGGCGGCCGCGCCGCCGGCGGCCGCGGGGGCGGCCGCGGCGGCGCCGGCCACCGCGCCCTCCGCCGCCGCCGCCGCCGGCGGGGAGCCGGCAGCGGCAGCGGCAGCGGCAGCGGCAGCGGCGGCTGAAACCACCGCCGGCCAGGACGGCGGCAGCGGCGGCGGCGAGAGCGACGGCGGCGGAGGGCCGCCCAGCCCCGGCGGGGCGCCCCGCTGCGCCGCCACCAGCCGCTGACGGCGGCGCTGCGCGGCCCCCGAGAGGGCGGCCCCGAGGGCGAACATGGCCCAGGCCCGAGCGCGCACCTGAGCGAGGGCGGGCTCGAGCCGAGATGGCTTGAGCCAAGGGGGTACGGACCCGGTGGGGTTACTTTTTTTTTTTTACAGCCGAAGGCGGAAGCGCCGGCGGCGGCGGGTCACGGTCGGGCTGCGGCCGCGACGAATTCGCCGGGCGCGCGCGGGGGCCGCGGATCAGGCGGCGGCGCAAGCTGCAGCCCAGGGAGCCTGGAGGGAAACAGCCACCCAGGAAGCAGGGAGGACGCTGCCAAAATGGCGCGACGCACACCCCCAGTCAAGGATCGCGTCGGTCCGACGATCACAGGGCAGTGGGGATCTGACTCCGTGCAAGAAATGCGCCAGTAGCCCAGGGTGTCTGTCGGGTAAGAGCGAGACCGTAGGCAAGAGAGCTGACGTCGTCCAGCAGGGAGAAGGGACTCTGACAGCGCCAGCGAACCGTCGCAGCTTCAGGGCACGCATCCACGCGGCTGAAAAGGCACGCCTGAAGTCATTGACAACCGGAGTCAACCCTCAAACCAACTGCGGAAGAATGCGTTCGCAAGCGAAAGGTCAACGACATGATGCGACGCAGTGCAAAGGCACACCTGCCCCCGACCTTGGCGAGAGACCCGACGGCATCCGAGGTGACAGGGCGTGTACCAGGAAGCAACTAAGTGACATAACAAAGAGCGGCTCTCCAGGAGACTCTGAAAGACCAGAAAGAGGAAATAGCGCTCTGAGAAAGCTGTGCTGCCGCATACCCACTGCAGCACGAGCAATCGCAGTCACGAAGAAGCCCAGGAAGTTCCCGCGCAAGAGGTGAGCGTGGGAGCGACGATGGGATGACGCCAGCGCGCGCGGATCCCTGCGGCGAGCGGTGCACCACTAGACACCGGGGTAGCACGCCTGGGCCAACCGCTGCCAGACAGTGGTAAGTCATGCACGGGAGCACGCCTGCAACTCAGAGTCCGAGTACGGCCGACGCTGACCGGGTGGGCATTCCAGCCGACGCAGCGGGGCGAACCACGTCACAAGACCGCCTGAGCAACGATGAGACCCACTGACGATGAGTCCAAGCCCAGGGTCGCTCCCAGGGAAGGCGGAAAAGCGCGGCTGAAGGCCGTAGTATCATGGGGAAGCCCAGGGAGTGAGAGCACGGCTCTGAGGGTGACGAGGCGATGCCATCTTTGCGTCGGTCACAGAACCGTGGGCCGGGGCGAGCCTGGCAAGGTGAAACCAGCTGCAGCGGGGCCGGGGCCACTATGACTACACGCAACACGTGCGGGCGTTGCAATGCAGACGGTATTGCTGGTACACACACTTGGGTCCAAAGGCAGGAAGTGCACGTGCCAGGGAGGGCGGCTGAGGCCGCCAAACGAGTATGGTGTCTGTAGAGCAGCTGAAGGCCGAGAACCCAGGGATGAAAGTGCGACTCAGGGCTGAGACGAGGCGGAGCACTGCGTCGGTCACGAAGCCGCACGGCCGGGGGCGGGATCCGCCCGGGCCAGAAGTGAGAACAACTACAGCGGGGCCGAGGGCCAACTAAGGTCTGCACGCAGCACTCCCCCGCGCTGCAATGCAGATGGTATTGCTGGTCAACACACTTGGGTCCTAAGGCAGGAAGTGCGTGTACCAGGGAGACGGCAGCAAGGCTGCCACACGGGTTGAGAGATCACAGGGAGGCAGCTGAAGGCTGCGCGAAGTGTGAAGCTCGGACGTTACACCTGTCCCTCTAGGGGATGGGATGGGTGGGGGGGGACCTCAGTCGCCCCATCGTTGCCTTTTATCCCCGCGATCGTCTGGTCTGCCGCCACCACGCTTGCCTCCTGACTGCCACCGGTCGTCGTGCCAGCCAGCGCTCCAGTCACTCTGCCAGTTGTCCTAGGCGTCCCAGGAGCTCGTCGCCCGCTCGCGCCAGCTGCTCTGCTGGCGGTTGCCCTTGCCCGTGCCGTCGGGCCAGGTGTGGCGCAGGTATTCGGCCCGCACCGTTGCCCAATCGATGTGGAAGTTGAACCTCTTGTCCATCAGGTAGGCATTGTATCCGCAACCCTTCCAGTCATCACAAAACTTGTTGATGGTCGCGTCCGAGTGCAGCCTCGGGTCTGACTTGGGTTCCCTGGTCCCAGGGATCCGGATGCCTTGTGTGTAGGCCGTCCACAGAGCACAGAATACTCCACCCAACTCCATTTGGTGCCTGGTGATGCGCTTGGCGGGCAACTCTCCGCGGCGCTCCAAGTCCACGGAGCCCAACCAGGCCTTGTACATGGGGCCTCCATGGGCGTCGGTCAGCTGGTTGAGTGCGTGTCGCTCCGCTGATCGGGAGCAGGCAGGCCTATGGCCAGGTGCCTGAGGGTTACGTAGTGGGGGGGGCGACGATCCTGCGCATTACCTCTGTCCCGGGCAACTTCGTCGTGATCTGGTCCCGTGCTCCCACTGGCGCTCTGCTCGGTGTCGGCTGTGCCACCCCAGGCGGCTATCGGGTCGGGGTCGGAGCTGGGTTCCACGCTGTCTGCCGCTGGGCTTTGCTGAGGCGCCTTGTCGCCGGGGCCATCGTCGTCAACTTCCGCGGCCGAGCCCGTACAGGATCCAGGAGGAGGAGACTCTTGTGGGCCTCCGAAGTCGGCTGAATCCGCTTTTTCAGTGGGAGGGATTTCGTCTTCGCCATCCTCGTCTTTGGCAGCGTGGTCAGGCACATTCGGGTTACCGAAACGCGTGTCGTCTGCCGTGCCCAAGGGGTTGTCTGCACCGGCCGCAGTAGAGGTGTTTGGTCTGTCCTCACTCATTGCCTGCACGTGCGACTCGGCAAGGGAGGCGATGGTTGCCGAGGCCAGGGCGTCGGCGCTGAGGCTGAGTAGGAAACTCGTCAGCGCGACCATCTCGTGTCTGACGGGGTTGACACCACTCGCCGGGGCAAGGGCCACGGCGTGCCTCTCCCAGGACTCCTGGTGTTTTTCGCCGTTGGTGGGGTGGGAGACGACCCGCGCGGCGGCCAGTCGTCTGCCTTCCCAGGGCTGGTTGAGCGGGGAACAATCCTTCGAGATGCATTCGCCGTACGCCATCCTGAGAAACTCCGTCAACCGTCCGCCTGGCCAGGAGGCTTCTTCGTTTTTAGGCTCGGGGATGCTGTCGTCGCGATGGCAGTGACAGAACTGTCGCCAGGTGTAGTCCAGTCCAGGGTGGAAGCCCCGGAGGTAGGTCACCAGGAGTCGCTGAGCCACCACGTCTCCGCTGCCCGATCCGCTCCTGGGGTCTTCTGGGCTGAGCGTGGGGTTGTTGACGTCCCTGCAGTCCAGGAGCGGCCCCTGCGGGACTGGCAGCTCTGGCCCCGGTGGGGTTACGCGAAGCGTCTAGAATCTGCGGGGGCTGCCTACGCACTAGCTGAAGCCGTAACAACACGAACCCGGATATCCGCCTGTATGATTTGTTCAACCCGCGGCCCTGGAGGTCCCGACCGCTTCCCAGGGTCTAGATTTTCGTCCAGGGTCAAAGTATGAGGGCCCCGGGCGCCAGAAACAGACCCCAAGGGCCCAAGGGCCGAAGCCAAGGAAAAACCGCTGGCTGACAAAAACATGCCATAGGATCTGTGGAGACCTGCCGTAAGCTTGCACCAGTACAGACTGACAAAAAATGCGAAAGCACGAACTTTCGGAGGTGCGCGCGGATGTCTTGGATCGGCGCTGGGCCCCCAAGCCTGGCGCGCGGAGCGCGACAGAGGCGGCGCAGGAGGCGCCGCCAGGGGGGCCCCAGCGCCGATCCACGAGAACGGCGCGGACCGCCGAGTGTGTACGTTCATGCAGTCCATACAGGGGTCTGCGTACAGCTGGCAGTTCATCTCCTCTTCGGACCTGCGGGCCGTGGCCCCTGACCCAGGCTGGAGTTTGTTTTGTTTTAAGCGCGGCGGTGCCGTTCCTGGCCGTTTTCGCGGAGACGGGGCGGCGGAGGTGCGCTAGTTCTTCCGCCCGCTGCGTAAACTGAAGAACGCCGCACTGCTGAGAGGGGGGGCAGAGGAGGAGAGAGGCCTCCTAGATGGGGCCCGAACAGATGGGGTCGAAGGATCGCGCCGTATCGCAGGAGACGCATCGCCGACGTCGGCGTGGGGAAACACGGGCTCCACATCGAGCCGCATGGTCGATGCATTGGCGAGGGGGCGCGATCCTCCGACCCCATCTACTGCGACCCCATCTAGGCGGCCTAGAGAGGAGCAGCAAGGGAAGGAAGATCGGATCGGATCGGAAGTCCGCGGACGCGCTCCACAGGGGGGCACAGCCGGGGGGGCGTGCAATCGCATTCGAAAGACAGCAGGCCAAGAGGACGAGGAGGAGGAGGAGGCGGAGGAGGAGGAGGAGGAGAAGGAGGAGGGCGGAGGAGGGCTCCATCCACTCGCCCCACTCGCCGTCCACGCAGCCGTCGCCACACGGCTCGGTGCTGCACGGGGCCACCTCCTCCTTGTCCTCCGGGGAGCAGGCCGCGCCACCGTGGGCCGGGTGCACCTCGGGAGGATCAAGGACTGCCCAGACCTCCCACGCTTTTTTACTGTGAAGTTCTCTTCCTCCTCTTCCTGCTCCTCATCCCTCCTGCTGTGTTCAGGAGGCCGCCCGACTGCCGTTGGGTTATTGCAAGTGGCCGTCGGAAGCCCGACGACGCGGTAGGTGATCGGACCGCCCGTCGGGTCAGCCGTGAACGTGGATATGTTCCCATAGTTCTCGAAGTTCGAATACCGAGTCTCTCAGTTGTGTTCGTCGGTTCCTGAAGCGCGTTCAGCCTCGGGCGGGGTACTTTCCAGCAGCTGCACCCCGCCAAGAGCGTTCAGGGTGGGCCCGGATCGTCTCGAACGGCCACTGGGGACCCGAGCTATGGCCCGAAAACCACTAAGTGAGCTGTTGTCTGAATCCTGTCACAAGACAGCTTGTGTCGAAAATTGCTGCGGTCAGCGGGGCGAACAGAGAGCGCCAGCACACACACACACACACACACACACACACACACACACACACACACGCTTGTTCCCAACCATCGTGTGGTGTTAGGTCCTCGTTATGAATAGACAGCGCCCCACGTTTCTTTCCTATCCTATCGTCCTCCTCCCCTTCCTCCTCCCATCTACATCATCATCAACATCACCACCACCAGTACCACCGTCATCATCATCATCATCATCACCATCACCATCATCATCATCATCATCATCATCATCATCATCATCATCATCATCATCATCATCATCATCATCAGCATCATCATCACCATCATCGTTATTATCGCCATCATCACCACCACCACCATCATCATTATCACCGTCATCATCATCGTCATTTTCATCATCACCACCGTCATCAGCATCACCATCACCATCACCACCATCATCATCACCATCATCATAAACATCATCATCAGCAGAATCGTCACCGTCGTCATGCCACCCATTTTGGCGCACACACACACACACACACACACACACACACACACACACGCACACACACACACACACACACCTCACACGATTCGTGGCCCAATAAGGATTTCCACCGAATGGCGAGGTCCCCGTGCGTCCGCGCCACCCATTTCGGCACACCCCTCACACGGTACGTGGCCCGATAGGGAGCTCCACCGAAGGCCCCAGTGGCGACGTTCCCATGCGTCCGCGACTCAAATTTCGACATTCCCCCCACACAATTCGTGACCCCATCAGGAGCTCCACCGAAGGCCCCACCAGCGACGTCCCCATGCATCCGCGCAGCCAGTGCTTAACACACCCTTCACACGGTTCGTGGTCCCATAGGGAACTCCACCTAAGGCTCCAATCGCGACGTTCCCATGCGCCCGCGCCACCCATGTCGGCGCAACCTTCACACGGTTCGTGGCCCCGTAGGGCTCCCACCGAACACTTCAGCGGCAACGTTCCCATGCGTCCGCGCCACCAATTTCAGCACACCTCTCACACGGTTCGTGGCCCGATAAGGATCTCCACCGAAGGCTCCACCGGCGACGCTCCCGTGCGTCCGCGCCACTCATTTTGGCACATCCTTCACACGATTCGTGGCTCCATCAGGAGCCCCAACGAAGGCCCCAGCGGCGACGCTCCGATGCGCCAACTCCACCCATTTCGGCACACCCCTCACACGGCTCGTGGCCACATAGGGAGCTCCACCGGAGGCCCCAACGGCGACGTTCCCATGTATCCGCGCCACTCATAAGGAGCCCCAGGTAAGGTTCCACCGGCGACTCTCCCATGCGTCCGTGCCACCCACTTCGCGCACCCTTTACACAATTCGTGGCCCACTCCACCTAAGGCCCCAACGGGCGCGGCCACATGCGTCTGCCACACCCATTTCGGCGACCTTACAGCCCCAATGGCGACGTTCGCATGCGTCCGACCGACCCATGTCGGCACACCACTCACACGTCTCGTATCCCCATAGGGAGCTCCACCGAAGGCCCCAGCGGAAACGCTCGCATGCGCCCCCCGCGCCCATTTCGTTCGGCACACCCCTCACACGCTTCGTGGCCCACGGGGAGCTCCACCGAAAGTTCGCATGCGTCCCGCCCATTCGTCCCCCCCCTGAGAGCGTTGCCTATGAGAGCAGAGGGTATACCGCGTGCGCTATTCGGGGTTTGCGTGCCCCCTTCCTTCGTCTCATCTCCCTCGCGGTTACCGAAGCTGCATATGGATGGGTCTTTCGTCTGGTTATTTTTTTAGCGTCGCGGCTCCGCGCGCGGCGACTGAGCGTAGAAAGTCGAGCGCAGGCAGTGAAGCGCCTGCGCCCAGCAGAGCACTCAGAAACCGCTGAGGGTCTCGCAGCCGACGGCAGCCATAACCATCCAGGCAAGGACGGCGGGGAGAGCGAGGAGTAGACGAAACTACAAAAGGGGTGGAAGGTGACATGAGTCAACCGTGACTGGAAGCCGGGGAGACCGACGAGGGAGAGCGCCAAGGAGCGACGGGGAGATCCAGCAGAAAGCGGCGGAGCCAAGCGGTGCGCCGGAACGGCGGCGGCCGAGAGGGCGGTCCCTGAGGGAGCGGCCCGAGCTGGCCCCCCAGAAGCAGAGGGCCCAGACACACACAAACACACACACACACACACATGCAGCCTCTGACCGCCCGTATTCAACACAACCGATCGAGGATCGATCGTTCAATCAACCGCCGATCGACCGAGGATCGATCGATCGATGAGCCGCAGATCGAGCAAGGATCGATCGATCAGCCGTTGACCGATCGGGCTCGGTCCTCGATCGATCCTGGATCAACAGCCCGTCGACCCTCGATCCTCGATCGATCGATCCTCGATCGGTCGATCCTGGGGTCGATCCTCCTCACGACGTGGGCTGCTCCCGTGGCTCTCGGGGCAACACCTCGGGCACCCCCCGGGGCGCCTCCCGGCGAGGCGCAGCTGCAGGAGAGGCGCTCCGAGGCGGGAAGCACTCCAGGAGCGCACGAACAGGGCTGAGCCTAAACACTGTTTTTTCGTTTTCGTCTTGTTTTCGTTTTCCCTCGTTTTGTCTTCAATCCGCTTTCCACGCAAAACGAAATCGAAACGAAAACGGCCCACGAATTCGCCAAAACACCGTTTAGGTCCACCCCTGCGCACGAAAGCGAAAGCGCCCGAAAATACTCGAAAACCAAGCATCGAAAAGCACTCCTCGACCCTCGACAACAGAGCTTGCAAAGGAAGTCCCCCCAACGGAGCCGAAGAGGCTCTCAAGAGAGCCCCAGGAAGGGCTCCAGAGCGTCAGTGTCGTCGTCGTTGCCGCCGCCGCCACCGTCGCCCCCCTTCAGAGACGGCATCACACGGCCGCAAGGCCTTCTCAGCACTCGAACCTCAAGCCTCAAAAAGCACTGCTCGACCCTCGATCGATCCATTATCGATCGGTCGGCAGCGCGGCCGGCGCCTCCACGCGGCGCGACCGGCGCTTGTGGCCCCCGCCGCAGGAGCAGGAGCAGGCAGACCAGTCGGTCCAGTTGCCCCAGCGGCAATCCTGCCCGCTCCGGATGCCTCCCTCCTCCCTCCTCCACCTCCTCCTCCTCCTCCTCCTCCTCCTCCTCCTCCTCCTCCTCCTCCTCCGCCCGCCTCCTCCTCCTCCTCCCCATCCTCCTCCTCCTCCTCCTCCTCCTCCTCCTCCGCCCTCCTTCTCCTCCTCCTCCTCCTCCACCTCCTCCTCCTCCTCCTACTCATTCTCCTCCTCCTCCTTCTCCTCAATTTCGTTTCCTTATACAAAACTTTTCCCCGTCGCACCCCGAAAATAGTTTTTAAGGCGGTCCGGGCGTCTCGCCTGAGACTTCCTCACCATTAACTCTGAAGCTCAAAAATTGGCAACAGTTTCACAGATGAGGGCGGGTCGTTTTCAAAATGTGGCTCTCGCCTCAGCGCGGCGAACATTCGATTTTTAATATTGCAACAGCTTCACTGATGGAGGGCGGGTCGTTTTCAAAATGTGGCTCTCGCCTTAGCGAGGCGCACATTGCTTTCATGTTAAAACAACTGCCAGAGCTTCACAGATGGAGGGCGGGTCGTTTTCAAAATGCGGCTCTCGCCTTAGCGTGGCGCACATTCGTTGTTAAACATTCGCAAGAGTTTCACGGATTGAGGGCGGGTCGTTTTCAAAATGTGGCTCTCGCCTTAGCGCGGCGCACGTTTACAACAGGTGCAATATCTTCATGCATGTCCATCATCAGTGTACCAAAAATTGTGTTAAAAGGATTCCGGATTATGCAGGTGCATCAGCTACGTTGATTCGCTGTGTTGAAGTCCCAGGACTGGCGTTCTGGCACGATTCATGATGGTCGAGACGCAACAGTCAGGTTCATCCGTGGCGTTGGAATCCCGAGAACAATATTTTGGCATGCTTCAGAGTCTTCAAACGGTTGTCTGCAAAAGAAGCAAGTCCCACAATGGAAATGAACAGTTGTTATGGGCCTATGAAGAATGAGCTTGGAGGAAGGGTTTACTCCAACATCGTTGATGGCACTTGGCTTTACACTGGTCCTCCTCCTCCTCCGCCTTCCTCCTACTCCTAACGAGTTCGCCCAAGGTCTTGGTGCTGCTTCGTCTTTCTGCATCTTCGCGGGCTACTATGAAGATGGCGGCGGCGGATATGGGCTGGGGGGTCCTGGCAGCAGCGTGTGCAGGAAGCGGGTCCGGGAGCTGGCGCGCGACATGGAGGACGCCGGGAGGTCTCTCGATACCACTTGGAGGGCAGAGGAGGACCATACACTACACCCAAGGCCTGCAACGTCGCCCAGGCGATCGAAGGTCGGGAGGGTCAGAAACGGTGCGCTCTTCCCGCCTGGCTTCCACCAAAAGGGCAAGAAGGACACAAGGAAGGCTCAACCAACAAGGAGGACAGGAAGGACCAGAAGCAGCTCCAACAGAGAAGTCCAGCCTACAGGTGAAGGAGCCGAACCACCCGCAGGAACCAAATGGGACCCGCAGGAGCCGCTGGACGAAGATGATTCTCTCTCTTCTCTCGTGAACGTCATCGGGGCGGACACGGATGAGCAGGATGAGTACCTGCCTGAGCCGTGGCAGAATAACGCGGTGGTACCCACACATGGCCAGGACAACTTCGACAGTGGCACTGGCGGGGCTACGGATAAGGGCAAGAAGATCAAGACGAATCAGAAGGACAAGAAGGCTGTTGAGGCAGATGGAGAAGACACAACTCCGTCGGGCATCGAGGAGAAGGAGAAGAAAGCAGAATACATCATGCCGTTGGGCACGGAGGACAAGGAGATGAAGCGCAGCGAGGACAGCAAGGCCTTGCAGAAGACCCTTCCCGAAGCTAAGGGCCTCTTGGCGAAGTTGGAGAATGGCTGCACCTCAAGGGGCGCGGCCTCTCCTCAGGGCCTGAGGGGTGTGGGCCTTGGCAGCGTCTCCTGGGCTTCCCTGGGGCTCCTCGTCGCCGCTGCTGGTTCGCCTCGTTTTCGGGTTCGTGCGACCCGCGTTCCGCCTACGGCGGGTGGCCACCGCTGGGCGCTGCTCGAAAAATGTGTTTCGGCTGGGTCCATCGGGGCTCGGCCTCCGCTGCCGCGGCGCAGGCTGGGGCGGCGCGGCCTGCTCGCCAGGGCCCGACGACACGGGCCGCTGCATCGGGACCCGCGGGGACCTCCTGCTTATCATCCTCCTCTTCCCTCCTCCACCCGCATCCCCCTTCCTCCTCGCTCCTCCTCCCTCCTCATTCCTCCTCGTCCTCCTCCTCCTCCTCCCTCTCTCTTCCTGCTCCCGTCCTTCCTCCTCGTCCTCCTCTTACTCCTCCCTCCTCCCCCCTCCCCCTCCCTACTCCAGATGTTCCTCCTGTTTCCTTCCTGCCTTCGAATCCAGATTCCCTCCTTCCCTGTCATAGTTTCGCTTCCTCCATCTTCCCCCTCCGCCCCCAGCTGAACTTGACACGCACGTGACGTTTCCAATCGGTTGCCAACGACGCAACCTCAGCGTGGCCTTTGCTTTCTTGCTCCACCTTCCTCCTCCACCTCCTCCTCCTC